CAGGATTTTGCTGCTTAAACTTTAATTTTCCAATCTACATTACAATTTGTTGTACTCATGTTGTCCGAAAATCAAGTACGGTAAGACAACAGTATTGTGGTGACTCCCGGGTTACTTCGTGGAAAGACAGGCTCGCACACAGGCTTACGTAGGGAGGGGTGTGCTAGCCACTGCAGGGAGAAGCTGAAGCCCTGTGATCCAGAGAGAGGGGCGGCAGTATTCGATAGACGGACATGAGGCAAAAAGAAGAGGCCTGGGTCGAGGGTCATAATCTCGTGTCGTGTTGTGTTTGTTGTAATCATGTCTCTGAACGGCCCTGGCTCCTCTAGGGAAGAGCCCCCCTCTCCGCGGGCCTGAAGTCCGACATCATGACCCACCCAGAGGAGCTGATGGAGGAAGACCTCCTGGGACAGAGCACTGATGATCTGAGTACGTCACGTGTTCCACGTACAGTGCAGCACCAGGGATCTGACTGCAGGCCTGGTAAATGCCTCTTGCATGTCACATAATCATTTCCAGGACTTGTTTCCCTGTCTGTCAGAGCTGTCAACGATATCTTGATCCGAAAGTAAGACAGTACTGTACCAGGATCCGACTCCTTTCACATGCCACCTGTACGTTGCTCAGATTGGTTTCAGTTTTGTGGTAGATTGCTCCTGCTGATTTCCTTGCGAGATGCTGGATGTCATTGTCCTTATCCGGCTCATTTGAAAGGAACACGTACAGGTACAGGTACAGGTACAGGTACAGGTACAGGTACAGGAGGGCTCTCTCACTGTGTGTCCGAGTGGACAGCATGGGGACAGCGCTGCTGGACAGTGGATTGACTAACCACTGGACACCACTTTTCTCTGCATGGAGCCAGTGCATTTGGACATAACAACCTGACTTTCACAAGAATGTTACAGCCTTTGTTAACGACAGGAAGAGTTTTGTATAATTATATTTTGAGAGTGATGATGTATTTTATAGATTGAAGTGTAAAAAAAAATGAAATCCTCACTATGGGATTGTCATGCCTCGTTGTAAAAGCAGAGATGTACATTAAAGTCATGGAAATGAATCCCACAACACAGCATCTGTGCAGCCTCCACCGATGGCCACACACTCACTGTTGATCAACACATCATGAATATATGGATACTGTTTCTGTGCTGGAGAATGTCAGTGAACCTGCTACAAAAACACACGACTTGTTTCTGATAACTTTGTGAAGGTGGGGCAGTTGTAAGTGATAAATAATATCTAATATAAATAAAATACTTGAAAACAGTATCTAAGAAAAGCCATCCAAGTAGTTCCATTTATATGACAGCATCAGAATCACTGGACAAAGGTGTTTAAAATTCATATGTATTACAGTATGCCTGTTTATAGAAAGTGTTTAGACTGTATTTCAGGATTTTGGCAAAGAGATTACTTCTTCCCCGTCAGTCAGATGGGGAAAGGAGGCCTGAGCAGAGACTTTCAGAAACACCGAGCTCACAGGCAGCCCTGTTCTCCTGGAGCTAACAGAACCAGACAGATCGGAGAGACACAGCAGGTTTTGCATGTTGCATATTTATTGCTGCTATAGCAATGGAAACAGGAAAGCACAGAAAGACAAGTCTTGGCTTGCTAAAGATGTCTGAATGGACATTTCTCCGAATGTTATAAGGCCTCATTGTAACTTAAAGGGTCAGCTGAAGCTGTTGGACTGAAGTGGAAGACTGTCTTCCCCTGCTCTCTGGCTTTTCCAGGTTTAATCCCTGCGTGTAACAGAGATGAACCAGCTCTGAAAGGTAAGGATTTCTCGTCTCACTCTTTTCAAACTTTTCTTTTGGAGGAAACTAGACTGCAGATATTGCAAAGATACTTCGATGCTGACTGATGATGACCCTGGATCACGGGCTCTGCAGTTGACTGTAGGGCTAAGTTTAAGGGTAGGATAGGGGAATAGAGCTCTTTTTTCAAATTTTCTGCAAAAGGGGACCACCTGGGACAAAGAGGGCTGCACTGTCCTTCCAACGACTGAAACCCTCACAGTTTATGTTCTGATGGTTAAGGTTAGGGTTAAAATTAGGATTAAAATAAGGTTAAATGAGGTTAAGTTAGCCCTAACAATATGAACTATGAATATGAAGAGGTCTGAAGGGTTAGGATTAGGTTTTAGGTTAAGGCCCTGTCGCTATGAACTCTGGGGCAGGAGAGGACTGAAGGGTTAATATAAAGACTTTTGGGTTGATCAGTAATTTTCATGTGACATTCAACGGTTCAAAGGTGGTTCGGCTCTATAAGCTGACAGACGTGTCCCGTTGAAGGCTTGATGGCCATGGCGCTGCCGGACTGGAGGACAGGAGACACAGGACTGGCAGAGGAGCAGCAGTCTGTAGCGAAAATTAAGCTTGATTTTCCAGTAAGAGATCTCAGGGGAGCCGAGTAAACACATCTTTGCCAACCCTGAAGTAAAAAAATCAAAAGTATCTTGTTACATTTTTCCAGCATACATTTAAAAACTGCACACTTTAAAGATAAATTTAACAATGAAATGTGTGCAAAAGGTCTAGATCTTGGGCACTACAATCTGTAGCCTGAGGTACCTGTTGTTTCTGAGGAAGTACTGTATTTACAGGAACTCACTATTGAGATACTGCTGACAAAAGAGTTTGGGATTTTGGGGACTCTTGAGGTGTCCAAGCCCGGCGCCGTTATTGACAGGACCAGGGCGAGACCCCCGAGTCAGTGCGCGGCACCAGTATTAACAGGACCAGGGCGAGACCCTCGTGTCCGAGTGCGGGGCCGTAGTGACAGGACCACTACGGGCGAGACAGTTCAAGAGGTCATATTCATTTACGGATCTTTAACGGGAAAAACACCTAGTTTAAGAATCAATAGCAGTACTGGTCACTTCAGAGTCCAGCAGCCAGCAGAATGTGAGGATGTTCTCCGCAGTGTGATTCATTCTCTCCCGCCTGACACCTCTTCCTCTCACACACAGTCTTGTCGTTTTCTGTCCTCTAATGTTAATCATTCTGTATGAATGGCTCTTTTCATTCAGTGTTTGGTCATCTTTGCGGCCTTGGTGTGAGCCTGTTGGCCAGTGCGTCACTGGAAAGGAGTGTCTTATCTTACCCGAAAAAATCATTCTCCCTACCAGCAGTCAGAGGTACCGGTGAAAGACACTGCTCACCTACATTATCCCTGCCTGAGAAGCAATTCCCAGAAGGCATTTAGAGCTGAAAATGGTACTGATGGTATTTGAAAGACCTCACACCCGAAGAAGGCTTCACAGCCGAAACATTGTGTTTTCTCTCTTCTCTTTTCAGCATGGAATAAAAGTATTACTTGTTCCTTTGAAGACCTCAGGATGTCAGGGGAAATAATGCTTGGGGCTGGGTGTTGGTCCAACTTTAAAGTCGATTCTTTAAACGGGACAGATCAGCATGAATGGAACCCGACAGAGAGCAGGTTTGGAGGTAGGGAAGTACAGAGTACTGCCGGGCTAGTTTACGTAGCGAGGTCCCACCTCCGGTCCTGCCGTGCCGCAGGAAGCTGAGCTCCTGTGCCCTTGTGTCCGAACGCTCTGCTCACTCACCGGGTCTGCGACCAGTCGTCGCCCTCGGTCTTTGCCTTCCCCCTCAGCAGCCACGTGGTCTCCAGGCGCTCCTCCCCGGTCTGGCTCACAAAACACTGCCCGACCCAGGATGTCACCGACTCTGCCGAACGGAAAGGTCACCCTCAGCAGACGCGCTCGATTCACGGTGCACAAACACAGTGTTGTGCCTCCAAAATGGACAGAAGGAGGCGTGCTGTGTCATGGATACACAAGTGTGTGCTGAGACCCCTCAGCCAGCGGACGTTTTTGTGGGTGCTGTGTAGGTGGCTGCAAGAGAGAGGGGCTCAGATGGAAGTACGGGACTGCTCAGCTTGGGATTGGGTTCTACCAGTAGAGGGCGCCAAAGTATCTGCATCCATAAAAGAAGGAACCTAGAAATTGTTATGTCTAACCATGATAACTTTTTGTATTTGCATTGATTGCAAAAAATCGATTAAAATACTGTTTGCTATTGTGTGCTATTGACTTTACATGATGAAACAAGTAGTTATCTCTATCTCACACCGGGCACACAGGCTTGTACAGTGTTGCCTGTAATTAATTGTTCATGAGCAATAAAAGACAATATTGTAAACAGTGCAAAAGTGAGTTTTTACAGCATGTTTTTTGTGTGTATGTTGATTAATATATGAAGCCATTTAGTGGGAGGAATTTTCACATTGGCTTGTGTAAGACAGGTTAGACATGCAGAAGTGAAGACATTATACTGTAAGTACTGTGGTTTGTGGTTTGTTTAAAGGTTTGCATAAGATGAAATATAGTTCTGTTATGTTGCCACATGACAAAAAGATTTACGGGAAACCCAGAATCCTGCAAAGAACCAAAGAAATTGTGAATTCATGCAGACATTCATACCTGGTTCGGCCTGTTTACACACTTTGCCAGCGGGGTGATCTTTAAAATAAATTGATTTTGCTGTTTGAAATTTGCTGGACTCAGTCACTTCCTTCGGGGGAGCTCCGTGTTTCTTGGACGTTGACCAGCTTCCGCAGACTGGACAGACATGTGATTGTGGGAAGAAGCTGCTTTGTGGACCCTAAATACATGCAGGGCTGACAGCCCCGAGACCTCCAGGATACAGACATCCACAGTCGGAATGCTACTTATTCCTGGAAAGAGTCACACAGTCCGTAGCCTGTTCCAGGGCACAAGGAAGGAATCTCTGGACAGGACACCTCACACACATAAACACAAACACTCACACACACATACACACACTTTTTAGAGACACCAGGTAATATCCTGGAGAGCATTCAAACTACACACAGAAGGTGTCCTTTCTGAAATCAAACCCAGAATCCAAGAGATGTGACACAGCACTGATAACCACTAAGGTCTATTATACCAACAATGTAACAATGTTCACTGCAATCACATGTTCTCAATAGTTTAGGTAACCTTGATTGTATCCTGTCTATTTCTCAAGAATGGTAATTGAGCAACAGGCCTGCCTCAGTAATATTTAATTGTCATCTAGTAGCGACAGAGTGCTTATAATCAGTAAAGCCAGTGGCTTTCTTTAAATGACCATTCTGATTCAAATGAAGTTAAAATAAACTCAGCAGAGGCACAGTGAATTCTGGTGTCTTTCCTCCAGCTGGACCAATAATTCAGGCAGTTTGGAGGACAGCTCAGCTCCTGACGAGACTGGGAACTAGAGGAGGAAGACAGAAATAAACCACGAAAGATGGCAGTCCTAAATCGACAGCTCCTTACCCACAAAACTCCACTTAACGAGGAATCCGAACACAGGGTGTTTCAGCTGCACCTGTCCGGAAAGAGCAGACTCCTTGATGTGTGCCCCCTGCTGAGTGCTCACAGCAGTGAAGTAGGAGCCCGTGAAGAGTCCCGATCCGTCCACAGCCTTCACAGTCATGTTGGAGCCCAGCTCGTTCTTCCATCTCCCTTTCAGGCTGCACTGAAATGACACCCAAGACACGGGCTGGTTGAACTGCTGCTTTTGGCTGAAGTCATTCCCTTGTTTGCTTGTGGCAGGCCTTGGGGCCGAAGGGCTCATTCAGTTAAAATATCATTTTACAGGGAAGAACAGCACCTGATAAAAACATTAGCAGGAAATGTAAAGAAGAAAAGAGCTGCTGTCCCTCCCAGACTTCCTTAGAAACGCATATAAGACAGCAAATAGTCCAGCATTGCTGCCAGTGACTCCCCTTCAAGTGAAAAGACAAGGCAGCTGGAAATGTTCATGGCTGAAACCAGCTGGATGGAGCCGAACTACCCTCTGCTTCAGGGCGTCCAGATCTGGTCCAGCACCTGCGAAGCCATCGAAACCAGAACTGGGCTCCCAGAACACAGATCCCAAAGAATTTCAAAATGTTGAAATTATATTTCAACATTTCAAATGTTGTTATAGGTTTGTATTGATGTTACAGGTTCGTTCAAATAATTAGTTGTGAAATCCAAATATCTGCATCCATACTTTTCTATTATTGCATAGAAAACATTAAAAGTTTACTAACTATTGCTCCTGAAAATGAGGTATAGGAGTGAACTGAAGTATGTTTGTGAACAAAACGAACGTAAAGGGAACTAATCCGCTCTGCTCTTCCCTCAGCACTACTCCCAGAAGCTATACGCAAGCCCCAATCACTCCCTGTCCCTGGCAGCAGTGATATTCTACTGTATAAGATTGTTCAGAGCCAGGAGAGGACACATTGTTATACTGTGTAGAACTATTGACTAGATGTATTCTAAAGTCAAAACACATTTAGGAATAATTAATCAGTAGCAATATTATTACTTGCATGTCTACTTTTTCTTTTTCTCCAGTTTGAAAACTCTGGAAACTCGCCAAGAGTTCCTTAAATGATTTTATCAGGAATATGTAGCCTGACTGCTGCTGAATATCATCATACACATTGCCAGATTCCACTTATTTTACAGCAAGGATGTGACTTTCAGTGATCGGAAAGCAGAATCAGTAAGGAGCAGCAAGCACCTCAGGAACAATCTTAACAGTCTAGGCAGGGTCCAAACTGCGCTGAAATCTTACCTTTTGTTGCAGGAAGGCAAAACCAGATACTTGGCA